TTTTTTTGGTGTCCTCTATCCTTTAAATTACTATTATTAAGGACCTTAAAAAAAATCCCCTATATAATATATATAGATATATTAGTTTAAAAATTACAGTATATTTTAGTTTTATATTTTGATAATTTTTTAAAAATTAAAATATTATTTTTTGAAATTGAATAGAATAAGTAATTAGATATATGATAGAATTATATGGTATGATATATATCATTTTTTGATTTGTTATAAACTCAATCATGTAAACTTCAATTCTATTACCATATCATTTTTAGTGAATTTATAAGTCTTTAACATTTCTTCCGAATTTATTTTTAAAAAAAAAAACTTATGGTATGTAGGTTTTCTCAACAGATAAATATAAAATAAATATTAAGATAATTCTCCTATCTAAAAAAACTACTAAGAAAATTCACTAAACTAATAAACAAGCAGAAAAAAATACATACATACATATATATATATATACATATATATGACTAATATTATGAATATATAAATCATACTCGCATAATAAATGATTAATTTTATTAATAAGTAAATCATTAAGTAAATTAATAATTTTTAATAATATGAAAAATATTTTTCAGTTAATCATTGTGTTAATAAATAAATCATTTAGTCAATTAACAATTTTTAATGATATTAGAAATATTTTTCAATAAACAATTTTGATAATTTATTATTGCATAGGAGAATAGTTTTTCACCTGACTATATATTGTGTTGAATTAAAATTTATAATAAATGATAATTGTAATTTCTAATATTATAGAACCGATACATATTTTAAACAAACTTTATGGGTGTATTTGTAATGTCTGCTGCTAGTAGCACCTACCAAAATTCTTTGGACCCCCCATTTCTTTGGACCCCAACCCTAAACCCTAAATTTTAATAATATTTTTTTGGACACCCCGCTTATTACCAAATTTACCCATATTCATAATATTTTCACAATGAAATGCACACCCACCTAATTTTTCATCCCTCTCCTCCTCTGACTCACTCAATCTTCAGAGTTTGGAGCTTTGGTCCAGTATAGAATTCTTGGACCCTAACCCTCCATCACTCTCATCGTCGTCTCAACCGTCAACGGAACATTCCAACAACTCTCATCTTCTCTAAACACTCTCTGTATTGCCAAATCAGTAACCTCTCTCATTCTCTCATCATCATCTTCTTCGTTGCTTTTTATATCTTCGTCATCGCTGAGATCGATCGAAGATACTCCAATTTCTACGGGATTTGCATAACCGTTTGCAAGATGAGGAAAAACAAAATCATCGTGTGAATCGCTATCAGAATTCTGAATGTAGCCCAAAACAATTTGTTCACCACTGTGTAGCCAAAACAATGTATTTTGTTCAGAACTGTTTTGTCGAACAATAATGATCCTGTCAGCACTGTATATCCGAACAAAATTTGTTCATCACTGTGTAACTTGAATCCATTCCAATTCACAACTTAAAATAACATTAATTAAATCCATTCAAAATACATAACTTAAATCCATTCCAATTCACTCTTTTTCATTCTAAGTTAGTTTAACAAAGAAAATTACATAACTGACTATCTGCATTAATGTTCGGAACCTATGTATTGAACGAAAGGATTATGTTCAGTACTGTGTTACTGAACATAATTCTAACAGTCAACAAACCAGTACTGAACAGCTCGAACGAAACAAGAACGACCGAAAACGACCGAGAATGTTAATACAAGACAGATAAACTTATCAATGGAATGCCGGCCTCACTAGAATTGTTGTCCTCGTCCTCCATTGCTCTGCACAGTGAAATAAGTGATGAAGTATACGTTATACTTAAAAAAAAACTTTCAAGTTCAATGGCGTCGATGATGGTAATGAAAATGACACATTTAGGATTTAAGATGATTATGAAAAATAATAGATCTAGGGTTTATGTTAGTTGGTTATGAAAAGTAATAGGTTTAGGGTTTACAAACATGGAATACGTATATTTAGAGTTGGAGGTGGGGGTGGGGGTGGAGGTGGGTGTCCAATATTATAGAGTATTGGTTCTTATTGATAGGTGGGTGTTCCATTTAATGTCTTTTAATGTAATTTTACTTTATGGTATAATTGTAATAAAAAAAATTATAAAATAGGGGGTCCAAAGAATTTTAGTAGGTGCTAATAGCAGCACTCATTTGTAATTTGTTAAAAAAATAAAAGATTCATGTTTCATAATTGACCAAGAATGTTTGTGTAATTACAAAAAAAAAAAACCTGTTGCATAATTGACCAAAAATGTTTACGTAATTACGAAAAAAACCTTCACTTAACATATAAGTTACTATTAGTAAATTATTCAAAATGGAAGAGTAAAATCGGAAAGAAAATACGAATCTTAAACAGTTAAGCGGTTTTTATATATATAGATATTTATATTTATTCTTCTTTCTTTTTTATTCATATGAAAATATATTTCATTTGGTGTTTGAGATTATTGTGTTTTATATTTTGATTTAGGTTTAGGTTGGTGATTTTGGTGTTACGTGGAAGTTTTGCATAGGTTGATATTGGGATAATTTGGAAAGTTAGCTAAATGCTAACTTTTAACTTTTAACTCATTTTGAATCACATTGCCTCTTACATTTTTTACACATAAAGGAACAAAAAAGTTAAAAAAACCAACTTTTAACCAACTTTCCAAATCACCCCATTATAATGGAAGTTAAGGGTGGTTACGGATCAGATTTGTGCAGTTTGTGATTCAATTTTGACCCGCCTGCATTTATACGGTTTAGAAAAAAGTCAACTCACAATCGCCCGCATTGCGGTCTGCGGTTTCTACGGATAAGGTTCACGGATGTGCAGGCGGTTTGCGATTTAGACCTTTTTCTCTAACAGTATATGAAGAACATATTCAATTAATCAAACAATGTTTTATAACAGATTCAATTAATCAAACAATGTTCTGTACAAGTCTATGAAGAACAGCAAAAAATTCAATTTCAGATTCAATCTGTCAAAAATTCAATAACATTCAATTAATCAAACAAGAATTAATATCATCATCAAACACAAATATCAATAATAGATTCAATTAATCAAACAATGATTAATATCATCATCAAACACAAATATCAACAACAGATTCAAAGATCAACAGATATCATCATCAAACATCACCTACTATTGTCTGAAAAACAATAGTAGATCTTGCGAAAGTGCATCTTGTGGAGAGAGAGAGAAAAAGAGAAATAGAGACAGAGAGACTTAGCTGAGAGTTGTTGGAGAGAAAATCAATCTTGCAAAAGTCAATCAAGGAAGAGAAGGAGAAAACAGAGTAAGAGAATATCTTGCGACGATGAGTCTTGCGAAAATGGATTAGTCGATCAGTGCATCAGAATCTTGTGAAGGTGGATCAATTTATTGATCGATCAATGAAAGTTGCTGGAGAGACAAAATGGAGATCGATCGGTAAGTGAGAGAAAATGGAAGAACAAAAGAGAGAGAAGGAAAATGAGTGAGAGAAGAGAGCTAGGGATTAGGATTAAGATTTGGTTTGTTTGGGTAACACAACCAAAAATATCTAAGATATAAATCATAGATGAACGGTCCAAGTATTTTTTATAAACAATAAATAAATAAATAATTCCAAGTACGAACGAGTTGTGACAAGTACAAGTTAAATCTGCAACCCACCTACAATCCAAATAATTGTTATATTTCAAACCACACCCAACCCTTTATGTTTGCAAAACCGCTCATATGTGTGCGGGTCGATTCAGATGTGGCAATTTGTGCAAATTGAATAACCTGCCACCCAACCCTAATGGAAGTTACAGAATAAAGACCCTGTGCTTGAGGGTATTAAAAAAAATTATTGACTGACATCATAATATGATAGTCAACTTAATAGTTGATTAACGAAGTGGTCAATTTATAATAAAATTTCAAACTTTGTGGAGGGAAATATAATTTCTAAAACCTCAAAGGTTTTATTTTACTAGCTGTAATTTACCCTTTACAAATTGCACACAAAATCCAAAATCATAGTAACAGATTCTTGTCCCCAAAAAAGCACAATAATAAAAAAAAAATCATAGTAAACCCACAGTGAACCAATACATGGGTTCTACATGGATGCCAGTGTCACAATGGAACTTAGACCATCTCCAACGGTGAACCAAATCCAGCATCAAATTCAAATTTTGATAAAAAACTTACTTTTTCAAGCTTCAACCGTTGCACCAAAATCATATCAAAATGAGAATTCAACAAACAAAACATCAAACTGAGACCAAGACACAGATTTTACCAAATCACTATTACTGACCGTTAAAAGTGGTACACCGGTCAACCAACCGGTTGCCCGGCCAGTTGACCAACCGGTCAACCGGTTCTCTTTGAAATAACTAGGTTCAAACCGGTCAAAAAAAGTTCAAACAGGTTAAAAAAAAAAAAAAATTTGCCCAAACCGATCGACCGGTTGATCAACCGGCCGGTCAACCACTTCCCCAATTCTGCTTTGATGCTCACCGTTGGAGCGCCTCGTATCAAATTGACAAAATCGTCATTTTTTTCATCAGATTTAATGAAAAAAAAAGTTAAGTGTTGAAGATGCTCTTAAGCCACGTTTATTTAACAAATTAGACTAATAAATAAATTGTTACCGTAAAGATTGTTAATGAAAAAATTAAATAAAAACATTTTTATTTTAATAAGTGTAAAAAATGATTAACAATGGAATTAATAAATTATTTTTATATAAAATTTAAAAAAAAAAAAACATTTCTATATTAAAAAAAGTCAAAAACAATTCTAAAAAAAATTTAAACAAAACAGCAGTTGAAAAAAAAAATGGTTCTCTTTAAATCCGGTGGGACTCATTTCTCAATCCTAAGTCATTACCAGCTATGCCAGTCCCATTTCTCGGTGGTATTATGAATCTTATTGGATTATTAATCCAGAAATTAATTTCACAACCAAACATGCTTTCAATATAACCCGCGTCAATCTTAGTCCAGTACTAAGGCACTAGAATTTCAGGGCTGATAACTCATTGAACAACAGACCGTGAAATTCTTTCTACAGCCAAATTCCCATTTGTAGTTGACAAACAATTAATATATTGAAAGACCAAGTAAAGAGCAAAATCCATGAACCCAGAACAATTAACAACTATTGAAACAAACACATCTGAAACAAAAAGAAAGAATACTATGTTGTAGCCTATACAAAGACAGTTTGAAGCCATTTAGACTTCACATCACAATAATTTGACCACATCTTTTTCTCCACAAAGCATTGCATAGTGCCACCATTGCCAACATCCATCATTATTAGACCACCATAACCGTGCCAAATCTTGTGGCCCCTCAGCAAGCAGAGAAGCAATTATAGCTAAAAGCAACGCATGTTTCGGAACTACATAGAATTCTAACTGCCACAAGCCATGCACTCTTCACGGTTTGTTAAAGAACATACCATTTGTGACATTTTGGAATTTTCATCATCTTCAATTTTGGGTTTTTCCTGCATTGCAAACAAATGTCAGATTTATTTCAATAATTTACAAAAACATACTAGAAATGATCAGGATTATAATAATCCATACAAATCATTACATTAAGGATAGAAGTGTCCACTGTGAACTTGATGGCATCCGCTGCAGCACGTGATCTTAGATAATACATTCCAGTTTTCAAACCCTTTTGTATCAAGGAACAAAGAGAAAATGAATCAGATATAAATACAGAACATTCCACTAAAATCACAATTGTTAATTCAAAATGTTTGCACAAAACAATCATCTGCACCATCCGACTCAGGAAGCAATTTTATAATACAATCAAATTGTGCAACAATTAATTTCCATACACACCGACAATTATATTCATCCAATGTAAAAGGAAAACCTCCACACCGATCACTTATAAGGATATCAATGTTGGTAACGGTATACATCCATTTTCTTATCTTGTTAATGGCTGTTTTCCACAACCAAACGAGAGATAATTTTGAAAACCAAATGTATAAAAACATGTCCCAGAACCATCCATTGATATCTTGACACATCAACTTAAAAGAGCATAATATAAGTTATACCAACATAAATTTGACCACAAAAGTATGGCAAACCTCATCATCAAAATCTCAAAACACCAAATGCTAATTAGAACAAAAATTCTTACCTTGGACCACGCATGAAAGTGCAAGGAAGTAAGTTTTCCAAAATTGGGTTGGTCCATATGTATATTTAGACTCTGACTTTGGTCTATGTAGCATCCACGATCAACAGCCATATCAACCAACGTCTTTTGCTTAATCTCCCAAACAGTCCTGATGCAGCAAAATGCATTAGTCCCGAGGAAGAATGAATTAAAAAAAAAGGGAAAAAGAAGACGAAAAAGTAGACACACAAAGTAGAAAATTCATACTTGTAAATAACTTTTAGTTCATCAGGAATTTCTGGAATTTTCTGAACAGAACCATCCTCGTAAATTATCTGGTTCTTAAGAGCAGGTGACCAAAGACCCATCTCGGTTAGGTCATGAAGAAGATGCTTATTCACCACAACAAACTCACCACTGAAAAGGAAAGAAGAGTATTAGATGACAAGGAAAAATCAACCCTTAGAAGTCACTCATTAGCATATAATGCCAATTACAAACCTTAGAACTCTGCGACTATAGATGTTTGAGGTGTACGGTTCAAAACACTCATTATTTCCAAGAATCTGGCTGGTTGAAGCAGTGGGCATAGGTGCTACAAGAAGTGAATTTCTTACTCCATTTTTTGCTATCATATCCCGAAGTGCACCCCAATCCCATCGACTTGAAGGTGTTACCCCCCACATGTCAGGTTGAAGAATTCCCTGGACAGGATAACCACCATATAAGCATCTCTAACTATTGTTAAACATATAGGTATATCATTTTATGGCCTGGAGACTCCCACCACAAACATGTTAGCCCACAATTGCAAAATTCAAGAACAAAGTGCATTTCCTTTTGTTAGCCCATAATAAGACATTCCATAACAGAAGCCAAGTTGCTAAATCACACTTTCATGGAAGCACTGCTTGGAAAGCATACCTTGCTCACAGGACTTCCGCTATATGTCTCATACGGACCTTCTTTTGCAGCCAACTCTGAAGAAGCTTTTAGAGCATGATAATATATGGTCTCAAATATGTCTTTGTTCAGCTGTTGACCCTGCATTCCACAGCCAACAAATCATCAGACCGGAGTGATCTATTAGAAGTTACAATAGAAAAGCACAACCAGAAGTTTGCTTTTACCTCAGGTGAATCAAATGCCATGCCAAGTAAAATAAAGGTATCTGCAAGACCCTGTACTCCAATACCAATGGGTCTGTGTCGAAGATTTGACCTTTTTGCAGTTTCCACAGGGTAGTAATTGACATCAATTATTTTGTTGAGATTTGAAGTAACTATTGCAGTAACCTGACCCAAAAGCACAGATAAACTAAAATTCAGGCCCAACTTCAAGAAATATAATCTGAACTACAAAAGGATGCCAAATAACATGGAAGACAATTGAGCATATAAAAGAGGTTAGACCTCTGCTAGTTTGTCAAAATCAAAATATCGATTTTTGGACCCTTTGCTGCCAACAAGCTTTGATGGATGTGATTCTATTGGAACCCCCTGCAACAAAGTAGTGCCATGCCCAATCAAAAAGAATATAAACCCCCCAAAAAAAGTTGTCACGTGTGCCTGCCATAAATATCATACCTTCTCTGCAACATATCGTGGTAAAGCAATCGATGCCAGATTGCATACAGCAGTTTCTGTTGGACTTGTGTACTCAATTATCTCAGTACACAAGTTTGAAGACTTAATAGTGCCTAGATTTTGCTGATTGCTTTTTCTATTGCAAGTGTCCTGGAAAGATAAAAAGTAAATTATCATAAAAAAGTAAAATAAGATCAAAACCAGACAAGGAATTTGAAAAACAAGAAATCCAATTTATTTTTTTTGATCACCTTGAATAACATGTAGGGAGTCCCAGTTTCTATCTGGGACTTCAAAATTTCAAACCAGAGGTTCTGCGCCTGTATAACTTTCTTTGCCTTGCACTAAGTTTATAACAAGAGTATTGTAAGTAATGGTATTCCAATAGAACCAACAGAAAACTAAACTCAACCAAGAAGAAAAATTAAATCAACCTGTCTTTCATACTGGGTGTACAGGTTCTCAAATTCTTGACCCCAGCAATCAGCCAAACCTGGAGCCTCATTTGGACAAAACAAAGACCATTGCCCATTACTTTGGACTCTTTCCATAAAAAGATCAGGTATCCAAAGAGCATAAAATAGATCTCGTGCCCGGTGCTCTTCCTACAGTGAGAACACTAATAATGTCATTGATTTTAAGGGGTAAAAAGAGCCTAGATGTGGCAAAGAACAGCAAAGTTGCCCAAGGCACACATCATCACCCTAATAAGAACATTAGGAAAAATTGTATGGATCAAGAGCATAACAATTTTAAATAAAAAAAAACCATCAAAATCATGAATACAGTCAACAATACCTTTCCATGGTTTTTCCTCAAATCCAAAAATTCAAATATATCAGCATGCCATGGCTCCAGGTACACAGCAAAAGCACCTAAATGCAACAAAAATAAAACTTCAAAATAATGTACAGTCAACCAACTGACGCTAGCTAGTTGACTAGAACTCTTGCACCTCACCAAAAGATCATGGGTTCAAGTCTCTTGCCCCAAGCAACAGGCCATCAATGTACAATCATTTCATGACACAAAACAAATAAACATAGAACATTGCCATGACAAGCATACCCTTTCTCTTGCCACCCCCTTGATCAACATAACGGGCAGTGTCATTGAAAACTCGTAGCATTGGAACAATACCATTGGATGCCCCATTTGTTCCACGTATATAGCTGCCTGTAGCACGAATATTATGAACAGAGACACCAATTCCTCCAGCTGACTTGCTGATAACAGCACACTCTTTTCCACAAGGTATCCATCAGATCCCTTCAATACTATCATCCTTCATACACACCAAAAAGCAGCTACTCAACTGCCAACACATCAACAGGGCAACATGAGAAAGCAAAGATATATATAAATATACATGCAGTGACAACTACTAGGACGACCAGAAAATCAATATAGCAAAAGGATCATGCTTTACAGCATAGCAGCTATAGAATATTAAAATTTTGTTACATAATAATGCCAACACATTGCATACTTGGGGCCTTGGTGTCCCTGCATTAAAAAGGGTAGGCGATGCATGTGTGAACCATCTCTGAGACATCAAATGATATGTCTTGATAACAGAATCAATGTCATTCTTATGGATCCCAACAGCAACCCTCATCAGCATGTGCTGAGGCCTTTCAACAACTTTTCCTTGGACCTTCAGCAGGTAGGACCTCTCAAGGGTTTTGAAACCAAAGTAATCATAGTCAAAGTCCCGGTCATAGATTATCTCACTGTCCAAGCGGGTAGCATTCTGTAACAATCAAAATGTTCATAAGCAATGCATGAAAACTGTGTTCAGTATGCTTGATTTTAAATGTAAGATTGCATATTCACTTGAGATTTAGGAAAATGAAAAACATTTTAACTTTCTTAAATAATTTTGCTTCAGAATTAACTAAAGGAGGCAGAAGCAGCATCTACATATTTTAATGCTTCCGAGGCCTACTTCATAGCATTTCATTTGTGCTTTTAGAAACAAAATCAACGGTTACAAAACTCTCAAAAATTCAAAAACTCTGCAGTGTTTCCTAAAAAGCAGATATTTTTTTGTAACTTGAGGAATGTCAAGCTTCATTGTCTATCATTTTGCTTTGGTAATAAAAAGCTTATTCACCCAAAACTCTACACATTTGAGAAAATTTTTTAAAAAAAATAAAATAAAATCAAAATTTGAGTTTTATAACAAAATAAATCTCAAATTTTAATTGTTAATTTAAGTTATAATATTTTAATTTATTTTCAATTTAAACCATCTATCTATTTCCGTTAAATAAACAGGAAAAAAAAAATCATTAAATTTTAATGTAAGCGTAACAAAAATGTATACAATACCTTTTTTTTTTCTTTTTTCATTTTACTAAAATATCTTTTTTCACCCCTTTGATTTCTAAATGTTGCAAGTATCCAAATTGTCCTCTTTATCAATCCAAATAAGTGAATCTCAAATTTTAATTGTCAATTTAAGTTATAATATTTTAATTTATTTTCAATTTAAACCATCTATCTATTTCCGTTAAATAATACGGACCAAAAAAAAAGTCATTAAATTTTAATGTAAGCGTAACAAAAATGTATACAATACCCTTTTTTTTTCTTTTTTCATTTTACTAAAATATCTTTTTTCACCCCTTTGATTTCTAAATGTTGCAAGTATCCAAATTGTCCTCTTTATCAATCCAAATAAGTGAATTTTGTTCAATCATACCTCCATGATATATTTGTTTATGTGCATGTGTGTGCATATACATAAACATAATAAATTCAACATAATTCATAAAAGAGATCCTGTCTCATGATCTCATTCAAAATAAAATAAAATGTTGCAACTAGATCGTTATAAACATCACGCAATTGTGTTTTTTTACACAAATATGAAGACTTGAGTTCTTAGTTAGAAAATTTAGGTTTATGAAAGTTTTCAAACTAAGCTTTCAAATCTTTGTATAACCTCAAATAAACCTATACATGAAATCCAAAGTTACAAATTGCAACAGAAAAACAGAAAAAAAAAAAAAAAAAAAAAAAAAAAAAAAAAAAAAAAACCTTCATGATTATTTCAAAAACATCGTCAGCAATCAAAAGAGCCTGCTGTCCAGATCTCTCGTTGATATGGTAGTACATGTCCTTGATCCTGCAGTGACCACAGTCAAGGAACAACTTTGAGTTTTTCCACTATATAAGTTTAAATTAAAATTGTAAATTTTTCATCTAACAAATTGAAATCACTCACGTCTCAGAAAATGATTTCTTGGTGTTCTTGTGCAGATTTGAAACAACAATCCTTGCAGCCAACTGTGCCAAAAATATATGTTCAAGCAAGTTAAAAAAATTTAAAGCAAACCGTATTTATATCTCTAAATTTAGCATAAAAAACGAAATTAAACCTTACAAGGTAGAGTTGCAACAATAATTTAAGCATACAAAACCAACAATCCAAACCAAAAACCAAACCCATCTAAACAAACTCGCACATATGCAAAACCCATAACCAAAAAAACACGAAAACCAAACCCAGAACCCAAAACCAGAAATTGAAGGGCACAGATCAAACTGGTTACGAACAAATTGAGAAGATTAATTGAGAATAAAGGAAGCAGAAATCAGTAAATTGACGGAAACCCAGAAGAGAAGAGAAAAGAAATGGAACTCACAGAAGCATAATCAGGATGGTTAGCAGTCATGGCAGCAGCAGTTTCAGCGGCCAATTCATCGAGTTGGCTGGTGGTGACGCCCTTGTAGACACCGGCACAGACCTTCTGAGAGACGAGGACAGGGTCACAGTGGTCAATGCTGAGACCATAACTAAGCTTCTTGAGACGAGCAGTGATCTTGTCGAAATGCACAGTCTCCTGACGCCCATCTCTCTTCACAACATACATCTTTAACAAAGCCCCCAACTAGATGGATATATTAGTAAAGAGTTTTTGAGAGAGGACTTTCGTCGAACAGATTCAGCGCACAAAGTGACTGATACAAGGAGCACTTATATAGCGCAGAAGAGAGAGAAGCGTAGATGATTTGAAATTTGTAATTAAGGGAAAGGGGGGGTTTTAAGGGTTTCCCTCTCTGTTCTGTGTTTGAAGTTTCCCGCCAAACGTGATGAGTTTGGTGTGGCGGGTAAATTGTGATGGGAGAGTTGAAGTTGAATTGAGGAGAGATGATGAGGGTGGAGCTGGCTGTGGGGACCACTTCTCGATCTTTTTTAAAAGAAAAAAAAGTGATTGGAGCCATGTGCCAGTCTAGTGTGAACTATTATTATAGGTAGGTCTTAATAATTAAAATTAATTCTCATAGGCTCCGTTTGTTTGGCGTTGAACAGATTGGAGTAGGGTAGTTGTTGATTTTACTCCTAGCATGTTTGGTATTGATTTGACAGGTCGACTTGTTAGTATGAGTGGCTTTATAACCTTTTTGAGTAGGGGGATTAGGCCAAGTTTGGAAAGTCGTACATAATTTATTTTTTTATCTTTTTATCATCATATTATTTTTTTATTTTTTGTATATTTTTTTGTAAAAAGATAAAAATTATATTTATTTAGGTCATCTTAAACAACCCTTTAGTTTGACTTAGAAAAACTTAGAATTAAGAAAATAGTGAATTAACTGGGTCTACTCGATCGTCTATTCAGACATTCTCTAGAATGTTTGATCGATTGACCGAAATCTTACTCTCTTTTTTTTATTTTTTATTTTTTATTTTTCTAACAAACATAGCCATCCGGTCAAAAAAACATCCGGTCGGCCAAAAACTAGTTGGCCGACAATTTTTTTTTTTTTTAATAATTCCAAATACACCTTTTGTTTTAATATTTATTTTAATTTTTTTAATATAGATTTTTAATTTATTTTATTTAAAAATAATTTAACAATCTCATCCTACACTATTATCAAACACATACTTTTACTTAATTCATTCACTAACAATTCTCACATTAACAATCTCTTCACTAATCATCCTCTCACTAACAATCTCCTCTAATCTAATCCGTCAAACAAACGTAGCCATACAATACTCTACAAAATAAATTATAATAAAATTGTCTTTAAAAATAATTTTCTGAGACTATTTGTTAAAAATAAACAATTAATAACTTTTTTATCACAGTTTTTATAAATTATCTCTAAAATTTACAATTAGTAACATTTTTCTGTGACAAATTTTTTAAATTGTCACTAAAAGTTAAAAATTGGTGACATTTTTTGACGATTTTTTTAAATTTTCGCTAAAACTTATAATTAGTGACATTGTTTTTGACAAAATTTTCAAATTGTCGTTGAAAATTAACAATTAGTAACGTTTTTTTAATAATATTTGATGAAAAATGCTATTGATTATTATTAGACCTAATGGACAATAAATCCACCTATTAGGATTTATGCGTAAGTCCCCCTTATTATTATGTATTTTTGTGATGGAAGTGGATCCCCTCATACTAAAATCTAGACGGGAAGGCATTGTTTGGGTCTGTGAAGGCTCATCACGGGTCTCGTTTTAATGATCTAAATCATTAATTTTGTCAGACAATTTGTGTATTTCATTCACACAAAAAATTAAATCGATTCAACAATCTTAACATATTTAATTCTTTGTGTTTATTACTAAAAAATGAATGGTACATTTTTAAAAATACAATTGTCGTCTATTTATTTTGTGACAAACGCAATGAATTGAATATGTTATGACTATCAGATCGACTTAATTTTTTTATGAATAAAATATACAAAGTGTCGAACAAAATGAACGGTTCAGATTATCAAAACGAAATCCGTAGCGCCCTCCCATCCAAATGAAGGACTTGAGGGGGTTCAGGCCCTTTTGTGATATATATTATATATGTTTTTTTGCTAAAATTACTATAATTTGTGATTTATAAATGAAATTATATATTTTGTATGATATTTTATGTATTTTATCGTAATGTTGTACATTTTTTTTGTTAGAAAACGTTTTGATAAAAAAAAATGTGTAACATTATTTTAAAAATACGTAATATTATTTCAAAATGTATAATTTTATTTCTGAACAATAAATTGTCATAATCTTATCAAAAAATTATGTAACATTTACCACAAAAAACATAACATAAATTATAAAAATACATAATATGGTGCATTTGGTACACACTTTTTGAAGAGTGTACCATAGAATTTCCTTGTGCGTTATTGCGAAACTTCTATTTACACACCACATTTTCTCTCAGTTCACACCATTATCCAATTTTTTTTTTTAAATCACCATTATAACCCTTAATCAAATTACATTTTAGACAAAACATTAAACTTCAATTTCTCCATACACACCATTGGCCACCACCATCAAAACCAATAATTGCCATTGTCATCGCCATCGCCGTTACCTCCACCGCCAAACCCTTCACTCTTCCTTCGCTCAGTCATCTACCACCACCCTTTTCTAGTCCCGTTATCACTAACGCTTGCGACTCACCACATCTCAACTCCGACCACCCCGCCTAATTACCATCGTAACTCCAACCACCTCGTCACACTACCTTCACAGCACACTCAAAACACCAGATCCCAACGCCTACTGCCATTGCTATTTCGTCGGCTACTCCCTAACTTCGACCGTTGTCCACCATGACCCTCCTCACTGCAGCCTTCCTAACTCCTCTCCAAACCCTTCTTTATCCTCATCCATTCCTCCTAACCTCTATAACCATCATTCATTTCCTCTTTCCAGCCCAGTCGCACTGCCGCCATCGCAAGACCGAAGAAAGGATCACGATTGAGAGAGAGAAATAGAGAGATCATACATGAAAGTGGGTGGAGATGGGTTGAAGGGTAACATCAGGGTAAGAGTAAGGCAAAGAGGCTAGTGGCATCACGATCGTGATTGCGTGCACGCGCGCGCACGAGAAAGAGAGAGAGAGGGGAAGATCGTGAGTGAAAGTGGGTGGAGATAATTTGAAGGACAGCGTCAAAGTAGAAGAGGGGAGTTGCGATGATGAATGAAGCTACTAGGGGACAGTTGTAGACACCCCATTTTGACTGGTCCTAAGACTTGGGGGCGCTTTCTGTTGATTACCTGATGATGACAATCAGAATGTGTTTCTCACAGAATTTTCAGAAGAGAGATAAAATTTGAGCTTTAATCCGAACCTTCACACATTTTTGTCCAAATTATTTTTAGACCTTAAAACTATATGTTCAAAATATTTTTCCAAATGTTTCTACGATATTCTGAGGCTCCCATTTCGATTAAAATATTGCACTTTTCAGTAAATTGAGTAAGGACAAAGTGAAAATAAATGAAAGGGAGGTGAACTCTTTTAAAAATATTTAAAAATATCTTATTTATAGGTTTGGAGTTGAAGCAAATAGGAGGGGATGGAAGAAAACTAATTTAAGAAAAGGATGAGCATTAAATCGTTAAGAAATAAATGAATAGCCTTCACTAAATTAGGCATATCTCTTTGTACACTTGCAATTTTGATGTGAGGCCACCACCATTGGAAAGTAGACTTCTGGGGCTTCAATTTAGACTCAAGAATCACCTAAAACTGAGTCTATATAAGGGAGGTATATCCGTTTGAATTTGGGCTTAAGAGCAGATTTTGTTAACGCGGCCCGAGACAGCAATGAACCCATTTTTTTTTGTTTTGATTCGATTAGGACACCCCATTGACCCATTTTCTGATGTATTCATCACCAAATGTATATACACTCAGCCTTCTTATCTAGTGCTTGATCCATTAGAGATGAGGCTCCACTTTTGTCTTCCATTAGCTTCATTAGCTCCATTATCTTCCTTTATGCTCTATCTTGTCTTCCACCTTGTCTTCCACCATTTCTCCACTTGCTTAGCCTATATGTGTACATTAGATTGTTAAGAGGAGGAAGAGGATAGATTAAAAAGAGAATATTTGAGCAAGAGAAAAGAGGGGGAAAAAAGAGAAAATTTGAGTTTTTGAGCTAAAAATATTTCTATCTTCCATATACACCCCATACTTTCCATACAAACTGAAATTGCAGCTTTTCTACACTCAAAACTCTTCCAAAAATTCAAAAATACTTGAATTTCAGTATCTTTGATCAAGAGGAAGAGTGGGTGTTGGTAAAAGTGAACAAAAACAAGAGAGATAATCACTTTTCACTACATACACTTCCAAGCCAACATTCTAGCAAGAATTCCAAGCTTTCAAATTGAGGATTGAGAACATAATTTATACACTTGAGGGTGATCAAAAGAAAGTTTGGAAATCATGAAATTCATCATTTCTTGAAAATGTGAATTTTCAATTTATTTCATTGTCTTGCATTTCTTACTTATTTTGCTTTTTTGCTTTGATTTCTTACTATACTATATATTGTTATAATCTAATTGAAAGTGGTGAGTTGAGACTCCCATATATATTGTTTTTAGTTCTGTTTTTGTTGTGGAAATTTGAGAAAATAAAGTTTGGTCGAGCCTACCACGCTACCCGGCTCATTAGTTGGTCAGATAGCCACATAAAAGTATACCATCGCGCCTGCGACCTTCATGATCGTGCCCGCGACCTCTAAGAAAAATCGGGCAGCCTTCCGACGTTGAGAAGATCAACCTCTGATGGTCTTTGAGGCGTTTGACGCTGCTATTTTGTTATGTTTATTTTATTTTGAGTGTTTGTGGGGATTTTTATATTGTGTTGTAATATTTATTCATCTCCCTCGGATTTGTAATATTTAATTGTTGTAATAATTCCCCATCCCCACTTCTTATCTGTCTCATTCTTCAATCGCTTTCCCTAACTGTACATATGTATATATCTTGCATGCCATGCATATCTATGCTTTTACATACATGATTCATGCCTAGATCTGGCTAAATTTGCATCTTTGTGCTTTAATTGATTGTTACATGATTTTGTGCGCTATCACT